GAACCTTACAAAGTAGGTGCCATTCTCTCTCTGTTTTACAGATGAGTACCCAGGGAAACTCAGCAACTTGTCCAAGGTTAAACCACTAGTAAGTGGTGGGGACTGGCCTCAAATGCTGAATTCCTTGCCCTCTGGCCTTTCTCCCTCGACGCTACAGGAAGGGCACCTAGGAAGAGGGTTAGGTTTTAAGTTTGATCTCTCATTCAATGTCCAGAAGCTGTGCAACTTACCAGTATGGCGTTCCTATAAAGGAGTCTCGTTTCTGCAGAGTTTTCAGATTCTTGGCAGACACACCAAAGTCAGCTGCGAGAGAAAAATCTCAAAGTAGTATTCAATGGCCATTCCTCCACCCACAGCCCTGGGTTACAAGCCCATGCCGTGGTCTCAAGTACATACAGGCCAAATCAATAAACAGATGCCATTTTGTATCTAAAAAAACAGGTAATCATTACACTATAATAAATAAAATATATGTGTGTGTGTGTATATATATATATATATATATATACACACACACACATATATTTTATTTATTATAGTGTAATGATTACCTGTTTTTTTAGATACAAAATGGCATCTGTTTATTGATTTGGCCTGTATGTACTTGAGACCACGGCATGGGCTTGTAACCCAGGGCTGTGGGTGGAGGAATGGCCATTGAATACTACTTTGAGATTTTTCTCTCGCAGCTGACTTTGGTGTGTCTGCCAAGAATCTGAAAACTCTGCAGAAACGAGACTCCTTTATAGGAACGCCATACTGGTAAGTTGCACAGCTTCTGGACATTGAATGAGAGATCAAACTTAAAACCTAACCCTCTTCCTAGGTGCCCTTCCTGTAGCGTCGAGGGAGAAAGGCCAGAGGGCAAGGAATTCAGCATTTGAGGCCAGTCCCCAGCACTTACTAGTGGTTTAACCTTGGACAAGTTGCTGAGTTTCCCTGGGTACTCATCTGTAAAACAGAGAGAGAATGGCACCTACTTTGTAAGGTTCTTGTGAGGATTAAATGAGATGATGCAGCTAGCAAATGCTTCATTAATAACAACTAAACTAGAATCCCTTTAGAAATGGTTCAGTTCTTGATATATTCAACAAGTGTTTATTGAGCGCTAGGCACTAGGCTGGGAATGGGTATGAAAATGAACACTACAGGCTCAGTTTCCACCCTCACTGAAGTCTTCCTGAACTCCTCCTGGACTTCTCTACTTCGTAGTGTTTTCTTTCCTATAATATTACTTTTGAAAACAACTCTCACTAATGTCATGCGTAACTACTACTTTCTGTTTTGTCCTGTTTTCAGTTTTTCACGTGCATTACTTCCATTTTCCCAGTGTAGAGTTTAGGCTCCTTTCTTGCTGCTTATTATTCACCCTTTATTTCTCTCTTTCTCTACCCTTTTATTCCACTTTCTCCTTTTCTCTCATATGCCTTCTCTCTGTATCACTGTACTCTCCACCGTTCCCCTCGCCCCATTTTACTTCTCCCCTTCCCACTTACTGCCCCCCTCGACCCTGTGTTCTGGATTGTTGCTGCCACCTTGTGGTAGGCCTCAGGAACTGCAGCAGGACACGGAGGTGGAGCCACTTGGAAGGCATTTTTCTGTGAGAATTGAAGCCTGTGAGGAAGACAGTGGGATGTAAAGTAACACAAATAATGATTCAGAAATGCCTCCAACACTCTAGTGTTGGCTGGTGGTGGTTCTTGACCTTGAATCTCCAAGAGATGCCTGTGGAAGCCAGATTCTGAAGCCTGTGTTGTCCCTTGGTTGGTTCAGGATGGCGCCCGAGGTGGTAATGTGTGAGACCATGAAGGATACCCCATATGACTACAAAGCCGACATCTGGTCCTTGGGCATCACCCTGATTGAGATGGCCCAGATTGAACCCCCACACCACGAGCTCAACCCCATGCGGGTCCTGCTCAAGATCGCCAAGTCAGAGCCGCCCACCCTGCTCAGCCCTTCTAAGTGGTAAGGAGTCAGCACCTGCCGGAGGGTCAGCAGGCCAGGATGAAGTCAAGTGGATTTGGGGGAATTGGAGTTTAGGACTCTGCTGTCACTGTTAATCCTCAAAGCAGGAGAGAGGTCAGGACCAGAACTCCAGGCCTTTCCCCATCACTGGGCCCTCCAATCCTCTTTCCTCCCATGTGCTGTGAAAGCAAACCAGGTAACTCCAGTAAGTCAGATTCCGCTGAGGAAGAAGAACTCATCCTGAGTGCCAGCAGCCACGTGGCACAACCCTGAGCTGGTAATCTGGGACTCAGGGTTAACTCCCAGCATTGCTTTACTGTGATTCATTGACATTGAGTCGGTCCCTGCCCTCACTGGTTCCTGGCTCTCTGTCTGGGAAATGCTTCGGTGGAAAAGATCACCGTGAAGGTCCATCGCCTCCATGTTTCAGCTTGTGAAGGCGCTCTTTGTCCTCTGGGGTAGGCATGTTTGGGAAGTACTCCACTCCTAGGAGAGTGGAATCGCTGATGTGTGGGCATTCCCCACTTCCTACCCTGCTCCAAGCTTACTGCTAATACCTGTCCTTCCAGGTCAGTGGAATTCCGAGATTTCCTGAAGGTGGCCCTGGATAAGAACCCAGAAACTCGGCCCAGTGCTGCACAGCTCCTAGAGGTGAGTGATTCCTCTCTCTTGGGGTACAGCTACTTGCTCTCCTCTGCTCTGCTCTTCCTTTGAAGGTGGGAAGAGCCTGGAGTGTGGGAGGCAGACAAGGTCATCAGTGACCTGGATGTACTCCCTGCCCAGCACAGCCATGCACTGACGTCAGGGTCCAGCCCTAAAGAATCTCCTGGGTGCTGAGGTCTCAGGCCTGGCCTGGAGGCTCAGCTTGCCACAGAACCTGGCTCCAAGTGGGTCCAGATTTTAGTGAGTGGCCAGAGCCTTGACTGTGGGTTCTAGAAAGTAGCAGTAGTAGGTGTCCAGTAAACATTAGTTAAACAAATAAATGGCTACAAAGAGCAACACTGCCTTAACCTAGTACAGCCCTAGGGGAGATAGTGAAAATACCTAGAGGCATCTCAGCACAGTTCTCATCCCCTCTGTAGGAGTTGAAGCTGGAAAGGAGTGGACACTCTGTGAGTGTTTGTTGATAAATGAATGGAAAGTCTTTAGTTGTTTGGTATCCCTCTGTTCGCTCTACTCAGATGCTGGGGCTTCATAAATCCTTAAGACCAGGTCTGGTCAAAGAGAAACGAAGAACTAGAATGATTATTCCAGTAATTCATTTATAAGTGAGGCCTGAATTACAGTCCATGTTGTTTCCTCCCACAGCAGCATAGCATAGTGGTTAAGGGCTAGGCTCCACCATCAGGGCTGGGCTGGGCTCACTGGTTAATTTGAGTAAGAGACTTTGCTTGAGCCTCAGTTTCCTCATCTGTAAAGTTGTTGTTAGTTGTCATCGAGTTGGCTCACACTCTTGGTGACCCCAGGTTCACTAGAACAAAACATTGCCCAGTGCGCCACCATCTTCACGATCGTTGTTTTGCTCAAGTTCATTATTGCCACCACTGTGGATTTTGAGTGCTTATCTGGCCGCACTTTTGGACAGTATCCTGCTGTGATCCAAAGGGTTTTCATTGGCTAATTTTCAGAAGGAGCCCACCTGGCCTTTCTTTCCAGTCTCTCTTAGTCTGGAAGTGCTGCTGAAGCCTGTCCACCATGGGTGACCCTGCTGGTATGTGAAATACCGGTGGCATGGTTCCCAGTGTCATATCCACATGCAAGTCACCACAGTATGATAAACTGACAGATGGGTGGTGGATCTGTAAAATAGTGCCTACCTCAGAGGGTTATGAGGATGAAATGAGATTGGGCATGTAGAGTGAGCTGTTGTTTGTGGTAGTTAAGGTTGTGTGTCAACTTGCCTAGGCCATGATTTTGAGTGTCTTGGCAGCTGGATATAGTTATTCCCCATGATGACATTGGTTGTGGTATAATCACCTGCATGGTGGAATCTGCTGTGAGCAGTTAATCAGTTGACAGGGTGTTGCCTTCAGAGTTTGGCCTGCTTCCAATATATATGGAAAGGATCCTGCAATTTGTTCACAATTCATTATCTCCAGTTCCTGGACTTGAACCAGTGGCCTGCCATATTACCTGCCAGTTTTAAGACTATTGCTTTCCCAACCTGTGAGCCAACAATCTACCATTTTACCTGCTGATCTTAGATTGGTTGGCCTCAGCAGCCAGCAGCTGTGTGAGTCATAAGCCTCCATCATGCTCCAGTGGGCTTGGAAGGCAGAGCTGAAGCTCAAGGTCAAGGGGCCTCCACTCAGCCCCTTGAGCCAGCACTCTGAACTGGAACTTCTAGCCTAGTCTTCCCTTAGAGCTGGCACTCTGAATTTGGACTTCTGGCCTCCTGGACTGTAAGAGAATACATTTCTGTTTGTTGAAGACAGCCACTTGTGGTATTTTCTGTTAATAGCAGCACTGGCTAAGACATTGTTGTTGTTAGGTGCCCTCAAGTTGGATCAGACTCATAGCACCCCTGTGTACAACAGAACACAACACTGCCCAGTCCTGTACCATCCTCACAATTGTTGCTGTGTTTGAGCCACTGTCAATCCATTTCATTTTGAATCTTCCTCTTTTTCACTGACTTTCTACTTCACCGAACATGATGTGTTTCTCTAGAGACAGGTCCCTCCTGATAACATGTCCAAAGTAGGTGAGATGAAGTCTTGACAGATTTATCTGTTCTTTTGGCAATCTATGGTATATTTAATATTCTTCACCAACACCATAATTCAGATGCATAAATTCTTCCTCAGTTTTCCTTATTCATTTCCAACTTTCACATGCATATGAAGTGATTTGAAAATGTCATGGATTAGGTTAGGTGCACCTTTCTCTTCAAAGTGATATCTTTGCTCTTTAACACCTTAAAGAGGCCTTTTGCAGCAGATTTGCCCAGTGTAGTATGTTGTTCGATTTCTTGACTGCTACTTTCGTGAGCCTAATACATTAGCCCTGAATCCGAGTAAAATGAAACTCTTGATAACTTCAGTCTTTTCTTCATTTATCATGATGTTGCTTATTGGTCCAGTTGTGAGAATTTTTTGTAATCCATACTGAAGGCTGTAGTCTGATTTTCATTAGTAAGTGCTTCAAATCCTCTTCACTTTCACTGAGTAAAGTGTAGAATGTGCAGCAAATGGGAAGCACTCAATGAATTTGTCCATCATTATTTAAACACATATGACGATAAAACTTCTTATAAAATATATGGGCAATATCAACAACCCCTTGACAACCTTTCTCACCCTTGGCTTCTCCCATTCCTACCTCTAATGTTCGGAAACATTTTGCCATCAACACACAATGGTTATGAAACAGTAATTATTTCCCTAGTTTGTAATTTCTCAAGCCTTTGCCAGCCAAAGGGGCTGAAGATCAGGAGAGGATCTGTGGGAATTCACCAAATGGATGTTATTCCAAGTAAAGGCAGAGAAACTCCAGTGCAGCAAAGATTTAAGGATGTTCTCCTATGCCAGGCTCAGTGCTGATGGAAAGAAGCCAGGGGTATGAGCCAGGCACTGTCCTCAAGACACCTGCATCAGTGGGCAGTCAGTTCCTCCTGTCTACCAGTAATGTAAGAGGGGGACATGCTGTGCTGGAGACCCCGATCAGAGGCTTTAGGGACCAGAGAAGCAGCAGCAGGCCCTTCCGGAACTCCTGATGGGTTGACCTCTGAGCTGTGTTCTATCAATTTCCTGAACCAGTCGCCATCAGTTCCAATTCATGTTGACCCCACGTGTGTCAGAGTAGACCTGTGCTCCATAGTGTTTTCAGTGGCTGGGTTTATGGAAGTACATCTCCAGGTCTTTTTTCCGAGGGTGAACTTGAACTTCTAACTTCTCACTGAGCAGCCGAATGTGTTAGCCATTTGTACCACTGAGTAACTCCATCAGTTTCCAGGGGTTGCCATAACAAAGTAACTTTTTTGGTCATAGCTTAAAACAACAGAAATATATTCTCTTATAGTTCTGGAGGCTGAAAGTCCAAGGTGTCAACAGGGCCATTTTCTCTGAGAAGACTTGGCCTCTTTGAAAGGAAAGGTCCTTCTTAGCTTCTGATGTCCCTGGCCATCCTTGGCGATCCTTGGCTTGTAGCTTCCTCACTTCAGTCTCTGCCTCCATCGTCACATGACTGTCTTCCCTCTGGGTCTTTTCTCATCTCTTATAGAAACAGCACCCAGATGGAATTAGGACATACCCTCTTCCAGTATGACCTCCTGTTAACTGATAACATTTTCAAAGACCCTAGTTCCAAACATGGTCACATTTACAGGTACTGGGGATTAGGACTTCATCATATCTTTTGGAGGGACACAAATCAACCTATTAGTCTTGAAGGATCAGTAAGGGCCGGGCAAAGATCGTTGGGAAGGTTGTCCAAGAATGAGGTGACATCATGAACATGGTGTCATTCATGAACATGACATCATTCAGTCACAACCACTGTTCACCAGGTACCTCTGAAATGCCAACTTTTGTGCTGGGAGAGCTGAGGTGATTAGAGTTGGCAAGACCCCTGACCCTGTGCTCCAGCAGAGGGGTCAGGCCCAAACAAACAAGTATATGTGCCTGCCAGATGCTGATTAATGCTGTGGAGAGAAGTAAAACTACACAGGTGTGGGGGTATCTGGGAGGGCTGCTCTCCTATGGAGGTGAGCAGGGAAGGACTCTGACATTCTGGGCTCCACTGCCTACATCTGGGTATGCACCGTTGTGGTGAAGAATATGGACTGGGACTGCAAAGATCTGAGTTCAAATTCCAGCTCTGCCACTTACTGGCTGTGAGACCTTGAGCGAGTGGCTGTGCCTCTCTGTGTCTCAACTTTCTCACCTTGAAATGGGGATAATAATGACCCCAGCACCACACATAGGATCAATGGATTGCCATTGAGTTGATTTTGACTTGTGAAGAGACCCCATGTATGTGGTGTAGAACTGTGCTCCATAGAATTTTCATGGCTATGACCTTTTGAAAGCAGATCACCAGGCCATCCTTCTGAGGGCTTGAACCACCAACCTTTCCGTTAGTAGCCACATGCATAGCCATTTGCTCCACATAGAGGGTCCTCCATAGAATCGTCATGAGGGCCATTATGAGAAGATACTGCCTTGATACTGAGTGGATGTTTGAGGTATTGAATTGAAATGTTAAAAAATGAAAAGAAACACCAGAAACGGGGTCTGTCTGCTAGGGCGCTGCGACTGTTCCTTTTAAATTTCTGCAAAGTATTTGAAAACAAATATATAGAGTACTAGCAGGCTTCATTTTCTGGGTATTGTTGGGTTACAGCATAGGGAGGGAGTGGGCTGGGGCCGGATGGGGGCAGACTGGGGAGTTGCTGTCACTATCAGATGCAAGATCTCCCAAACCCTGTGGGGCCAAGTGTTTCCTGTCAGCAGGCACCTCCTGCCCTGACATAGCTGGCCTCCAGGACATTCCACTGGGAAGAGAACAGCTGTCCTCCTTCCCCACTTAGCAGCTCCAGCCTTAGCCTGAGCCACAAATTTCCATTAGCTAGCTGGAAAAGGCATCCTGCCAGAGGATCTTAGAGTATGACAGAAGGATTGCGAAGAAAGCAGTGATCTCTCAGGATAAAT